TATCAGACCTCGGCAGAAAAAGAGGACGCTCTGCCAGCTCTGCCTCCACATTCCTGCTGGCCTGAACTTGGGTATAGAAAATAGGGTCCGGCAGAAGTGGTGCCACTGAGTATGGTTGGCAGGGTACGTAAATGTCTTACACGAGATGGGCAGCAATTTGAACATTTCGCTAACATGTCATATAGTGTGCTTCAGTGTGATTTTGTTATATTACAGAATTACATGCTTATGATTTCGTAATAAAAGGTCTGGTATAGATTACCAGGTCATAAGAAAAGGGTGTTATTCATGCGGGGCCCTGTGGATGGCAGTGCAGCACCTGGATAAGATACAGTGGAGAAACGATAAGGTGGTTTTCACTTCAAACTGGTAGGGTCCGCTATGATGAATGTCGCTTATCACAAGGATGACTTTAAGGGCAGAAGTTACATACATGAAAGCAACATAAAGAACTTTTTAAAAAAATAGATTTATTTACTTTTAGAGAGAGGGAGAAAGAAAGGGAGAGATACAGAAATGTGCAAAGTACATCCACTGGTTGCCTCTGCTCACCCCCAACCAGGGACCTGGGCCACAACCCAGGCATGCGCCCTGACAGGAATGGAACCCGGGACCCTCCCGCCTGCAGGCTGGCATTCAATCCACTGCGCCACACCAGCAAGGGCAGAATTTTTAAATTATTGATAATGCCCCAAATAGAGTGGGTTGCCCTAGGAGAATTTTCCCTAAGAGCTAGAGAATCTTTGATGGGAGCGATTTAAGCATCTAATGGGATTAAAGTAGATTATATCAAATTGAAGGTAACTTGTAATGCCTGAGATTTTATGATTTGAACAAAATATAGTGGAAAACATTTGAAATGACAGACATCTCTTACCTAATCAAGCGACTTTCATTCTGGACACTACATTAACATTTCTCTGAAAATTACCTTTTTTTTGGGGGGGGGCTAGGACACACATTCTCAAGATCTCTGAGTATTAATTCTCAAATTCTAAAATACAGGTTATACTTCATTTGATATCTTGAGAATTCTTCCATATCTGTTTGCATTTGTCTCTGATTAGGAAAACATTTGGTCCTTGTTGGATTAAATTTTTTCTCCATCATCATCCTGATCCACATCCATTTCTTATAATTTCTATTCGGCTTATCAGTAAGTAACACTTCCAGCGGAAACTGTGATGAACTAGTAACGCGAAAACCTATTTTGTTCCTTTTCCCTTGCATCTTCCACCTAAACATTTTTTCCGCCATCCACAGGGCGGAGCGCCCCCTGCAGCTGGAGGCCGAAAGAAAATGACATCCTCCAGCCTAAGCAACGGTTTCTATGTACAACTGGCCGGAGAGAACAGAGGGGACTGGTCTCGCGGGAGCCCTATGCCAACCCGCAACGGTTAGGGGGCACTTTAAGGTCCTATGAAATTGTTCCCCACTCCCCAGCTTTCGTCAACAGGGCTAGCTGCCACCAGGAGACCCCGGGAACCCTTATGTTGTGAACCAGCCCCAACATTCGCTGAAACACAAGGTTACCGGTTTGTCCCCCGCCACCCCCACCATGAAGGAAAGCAATCCCTCGCTGAAGTCCCAGAGTGCATTAGCTTCTCTGCGTCCACCATTCGCCCTGGATCGGAGCGGGACTGCAATGGGGAGATGAAATTTACTCCTGGAGGGCAGGTACTCACCTGGTTCTCAGTGCCCTCACGGTGCGGAGGATACGGCCACGGTATAAGGGACTCGCTGCCTCATTCTGTCTCAGCACCCGAGTGAGGGGCTGACTGCTGGGGGTGGGGATTAGGCCCTCTGCGGGATGATTGGCTAGTCTCTGACCTGCCATTCCGCCGATTGGCTTTACAGGGAAAGAGGATCAGTAAGGGAGAGATAAGCTGGGTGGGTGGAAGTGTGAGTTCCCTCCTCTTCCTCGCCTTTTCAATTCATTTCAGATCAAGTTAAAATGATGTTATTCTTTTGATTATTGTACTACCTGCACGGTAAATTGGTATCTACTCCAACTAAATTGCAGAAACATAATTACATTCACGGTATCCACATTGCAACCTACATTCACTTCGTCCTCTTTACACAGAAGAATAAATGAAGGCAAGACTCCCTCTTCGTTTTCAAGCATTCAACATTTTCTGAGTGCCGGTTATGAGTCAGAACTAAGTGCTAGATACAAAAGTGAAGAAGACATATTACAATTTAGATAATAAATAAAACAGTAAAGACCATTTGTGGAAAAATGTTTTTGTTTTGTAATTTCAGACTAGTTCAAATAGATAAAGCACCTAGTACAGTGCATGGCATATAATAGTTCAAGAAAACTATTTCTTTTTCCCCTTTGCACTTAAATTGCAGACCTCAGCAGGCACTTGTCGTAAAAATTCTCATGCTCAAAATGTGACTATATTTATACAATTATTTCCATTGTTGGTGCTGGAGATTAAATTGTTGTTTATAGGCCCAAGCTCAAACTTTAATCTTTAGTTTGTTTACTAAATTCTTTGTCTTGGGGAACAGGCATGGCACCCCCCAGAGCATGTAAAGCCACTTTGCTAACTCATTCTAGCCCGCAAACTTCATTCAAAATTATGTCCTAAAACACTCAGTCTACTGTATCTTTGTATTTTACTTGAAGGGTAGGAAGAAATCCTTTAAATATTCAGGAAAAGAGCTGTAATTCTATATGTCCTGTAATTTTCTTTTCACTCATGATTTTTTTTCTGGTGATACTTACATGCATATATACATTTATGCCAAATAAACAAGGATAAAAAACAATCTAAAGGAAAAAGACTATGGAAGGAAATGAAAATTGCCACTATGGTCTTCACTGAGAGAGGACATTTTATCCAAGAAACAAAGGGACATAAATACAAAGAAAAACTAAGCTTAGACGTGAAAAGTATTATGCCAGAAATAAAAAAGCCAGTAGATGGATTAGAAAGTAGTGATAAAGCTTTACAGTGCAGAGAATGGAAAGAAAGAAAAGTGAGAAAGTTAGATTATATCTATTTTTCAAAAAAAAAGCTGAGGGTAGGAAGTTATTAAATAATTCAAGGTAATTTCCTATTAGAGTTTGGGTGTCCGGTTCAAAGCACACAAGTGACCAAAACAGTGAAAAACATACAAAGGCACATAACTATAAAGTTTCAGTACACTGGCAAAAATTCTAAGTTTGCAGAAAGAGAATGGGTCACCTACAGAAGATTAAAAATAGAATGGTTTTGGATTTATCAACAATACTGAAAGCTAGCAGACAATAAAACAATCTTTCAAAATCCCAATGCTGGTGAAGAACACCAGAAAAGACAATTTTAGACAGAAAAGCATGAGGAAAAGTGGGAGAGGCAAGAAATCAAAACAAGCCTGATACTTGCTTAAGGAACTGCATACACCTCCTTAGAAACAAAGATTGAGAAATGGTTTGAAGTGGTGCCGGAGGTAGGAGTCAGATTATCAAGGGCCAAATACACTATTCCCAATCGTTTTGATTTTTTCAAAACGAGGAGCCACTGAGGATTTTCAGCAGGACAGTACTGTGAAATTTGTATTTTTGAAAGAGCAGTCTGAGGAGAATGGAAGGCAATACAATAATGGTAATAATAATTAACATAGGCTAACATTAGGCTGAGTTTTTATGGATTGTCTTGCAACAGACCTTTGAGGTAGGTACTATTATTTCCTGCCTCGAGTACAAACATGGAAAGTGAACCCTGCTAAAATCATGCTGCCAGCTGACAAGGGACATTTATTCTTCCTCAGGATTGGTCATTTCTGATTTCTTCTACAATTTTTGGATTTTTCATAACCTTCAATCTCTGACTATGGCTTCAGAGTCTCAAAGCACTGTATGAACCATCATTAATTCATCCACTTTGCCAATGAAGGTAAAGTTGAAAGAAATGAAGTTAACTGACCAGTCAGAGTAGCAGGGCTGGATGTAAACCAATTTCCATGCCTTTGTCATGGACATGCATGTCCACAGTCACTGATAAGCAGCTTAGTAGGGAACAAATTATATGTTAACTTCAAGCCCAGATTTTTTATTTACAGAGCACTATTCAAGTCTTTTATAGCAATTTTATATGTATATTACCTTTTTTTTTTCTTAAAACTGTCCAGGTAGGCAAGAGGTAAAATTTACTTCCATTTCAGATGGAAACACAGAGGTAAGTGACTAAAATGGTGGTTTTGAGTGGTGGTTATACTTTTGCCATGAAACAACTGACTAGTTAACCAAACAGCAGTATTTAATTAAACTACTGATGTACAAGGGACCTATGATGGAATTAGAACAGTTAAGAGTAACATTACCCAATGAATTAGGGTTTGTTTAGGGGGCTGTCATTAAGAGATACCTTATAGAACTGTGAAAGCTGTGGCTAAAGAAAATCTGTATCAAGGAAGCATTCTTTAAAATGTTGAGCATGGTAGTATTTTTGTAGAGCACTTGTAAGAACTTAGTATTCAAGAATGGTAGTAGAAATAAAGATTTTAAAAAATGGTATGGTTTGAATATCAGAAACACACATAGCTACTAATGAAGCTGGAGTATTGCAGATCTTCAAAATGAATGTTAGGGAAGGCAACATGTTCCATGATGAAATCCTGGGACAGACGGAGTGTCTGACTATTAATGTCCCCAAGAGCAAGACAAAAGTTTTGAACACATACCCAGCAATTCAGTGTAAAACGATCCTACTCTTATATCTTGTAAGCGGGTTTTGTTTTTTTTTTTACTTTAATGAGTGATTACGACTGGAACTGCACCTGCCTGAACAGTCTTCATCTTCTGTATGTGGGAATGATTTTCCCTTTCCACAAGCAACCATTACTTTTTTCCCCTCACCTAAGATTTACAAAATAGTTAAGCATTACATACAGAGAGGCCTACTTCAAGTATCAAGTAAGAAATGGAACACGAAATGATGTATGCATGCTGACAGTAAGTGCATTGGTATATTCCATACAAAATGATGATGGAGACTTTCAAACAGTTGATGGTATAAAAGTTTATTTTTAACTAGGGCTTCAATGATTCTGAGGTTTGATTAAAAGTGTGGTTTGGGTGCACTTTTACCCTTTGTTGTATCGGTTGACATAAACAGTAAAATTAAATTACAAACAATGGAACAAGAAATCATTTCCTTACATAAACTATTAACAGATACCTAAATACAATATGGGCTTTAAAATGAAATCATATGTATATAGTTGTATTCATAAAGATAAGTATACTACTTGAATGCTATACATAAACAACAAATCCAAATGCAAACAAAGACATTTCTCCAAATTCTGTTTCATCGAGCATCAAAAACCACCACTGTATTTAACTGAGTTAAGGAAAAAAAAATTTAATTCCACAGAAGACTTAATACTTCCAAGTCACTTTCTCTTTACAATAAGCTAGTTTGTTATTTAATCTAAAATGCACAAAAGTAAGGAATTCAACACTATGATAATAACATTTTTTGAAAAACCATTTGAATTTTCATTAGCTGTCTTTCCATGATACAAAAGACCAATGCAAGGAAAAATACTAAAGCAATGTTAAAAGAGGTAACATATTTGTATTTCTCCTTCTATAGTTTATCTGTAAACTCAAGCTCATGAACGAGTACTCCGTTAAATAAAGAATCCCTTAAAAACAAATTTATGAGAACCAAAATCAACTAGTATTAAGATTACATAGTATATGCCTCTACCCTGGCATACTGGTCAATGAAAATTCTGATTGTGTCTTTTTTTTTGGGGGGGGGGGTAAATAATCCAAAAGTTATTACCCTTTTTATCAGAAATTAGTCTTTGACTATCAACCCAAGCATTATTCTTAACTTCCTCCTACTTCATATTTAAAAAGCATAGTTAAAAGGATACATCTTTTAGTCCTTTTCTTGTACATTATTCTGTATCCACATTCTCTGCATCTGATTGGATCCCTGGATTTTATTTCATTTTCTGTGTGACATTCTGGAAAAGACAAGACATTAATTCAGTATCTGAAAGGAAAACATTACAGGCAAGCAAATTATCTTAACTATATTTTCCACCCAAAGCACTAAGATATACTCAATCTCAAGAGTATGTTGTTATTACCAATATACTAAGGGGGGAAGGAAATAAAAGTTGGGGCAAGCACTTTTTCTAGGAGAGAAAATGCAATCTTGAGAGGATTTTTATGGTTGCTAAAGTGTTCTGCTTTATAACTTTAGTGATGAGTGAGTCATTTAAGCAAAAGAGAAAATATTTAAAAACTGAAGTAAAATACTTATTTAAGTGTGACTCTTACCTCCACAGATATATATCATTGGCTGCTGCTTTGGAGGTTGAACGTCCTTCTGAGTGTCCATTGTTAGTCCCTGAAATCAGAGATTGAAATTCTGAACATCTCAATGAGGTTCCTTGCAAATCCAACCAGCCCTCATTTTTCTCAGAGAACGCTAGAAAGGTCCCAATTCCTAATCTATACTTTTTCAATCACTATGTATAGGCCTGAAGGACGAAACGTATTTAAAAAACAACCACCACCACTACGTATTATGTGTTATGAACTTACCTCCAAATTTGACACAATACACGTTATTTCATTTATACGTGTTATTGCATTACAATTTTTACAACTCTCCGAGGAGGCATTACTTTCGTTTTATAGATGAAAGAACCCACGTTTAGCCAAGTTAATATGCGCGGGGCTTATTAGGAGGCAAAGGAATTCAGAACAGACTGAATTCCAAATGAGAAAGCTCGTATTCTCATTTGGCACATATTCTATTTTTCCAAACTTTGGCAGGAGACGGCCAAAAGATTTTACCTCTCAACAGGGGAACACGCAACCCAAAGGTAAGGGAAGATGTATAAAATACTGTAACTCTCAATTGCAAAACAGCTAAACTGAAAAAACAACAACAAAAAAACTAGGCAAAGGGTTAACACCATCTACTCTATCCCCAGACTTTCCCAACCCTAACCCAACACCGGACCTTTAAACCCCAAACAACTTCCCAGTTTGGGCCCAAAATACTCACCCCCAAATCCTGACCACTCAACTCCTCACCCACGTAGCTTCCAGAAACTCCTCTCTCTGTGTTTCCCAACAGACTGCAGCTTGCCGGCGTGTTGCAGCCAATTTCCGGCGCTAGTCTGTGACGCATGGAATCTCCGCCCCTTCCGCTTTTTCCGACCCCCCCCCCATCCCGTTCCATTCCAAGGCCAGGTTGAAGTACCCGGATTGAGCACCGGCGGAAGAGCCGGGGCATTTGTATATTGGCATGTGGGTGCAAGTTCCTACTTCGCTTCCACCTGTTTTTATTTCTCAGGAAAGCAAAGCATTTTAACAGTTCCTCAAGTTTAACGAGGTTTTTTTTCCTGACTAATGAAGTGGGTGAAAAGTAACACCTCCAGGAGGGCAGAGGATTTGAGAGAAAGCGAAAGGACAAATGACCATGAAGTTCTGAGCTAACCGTTCCCCGTAGGAACACAAAAGAGTCTGCTCCACGGACTGTTTTCACGTAGAAAGGCACCTTTCAGGTTATGTTTTTTAGATCATTTGTTATCTGTGCTGAGGCAGCAGAACAGCCACTCCCCATCCTCATAATTTTGTTTTTGCATTTCGACCCTTTCTCTCTTAGTCTCCTGTTACCCTCTCAACCATTTCTTTTCTCGTTTTACAGCAAGGGCTGGCCTGAGGGTAACCACGCCAGCTACTTCCACTTAAGCTAAGGGATTTTTGTAGCAGTAGCTGGCCACTGACCTCCTCCCGTCCCATGGAGAGGTGTGTTTTCAAGGATCGAAATTTCAGTGACAGTATCAGTTGGGTTCACAATATTTACATTTGCTTTTCTTTCACAGTAGGTATTTTACTTTAGAGAGAGAAGAAAATAAAATTATTAGAATTTATTTTAAAACTTAACCAGTTAATAATCATTTTAATAGGAGAAGCGGTTTTCTCTCTTCCCTTTATTCATTATATCTGGTTTCTTCTTAAGCAGGCTATACTTTTCCCCATCTTTCCATTCAGCACCTGAGAACGTTGGGCTTCACCTTCATTTCCAGGAGGACTTCCAATGGGTTGCACCTCCACAGACCAGTTTGAGAGATTTCACTTGATTTTCCTACTCTTCCTAGCTGCCAATTTTTTTAGTTTCCAGGGAAACGCTGTGGAGTTTCCAACTTTTTCCTCCAAAGACAGGCTAAAATAGAGCATAAATATTTTTTAAAGACTTTATTTATCTTTAGAGGGGAAGGGAAGGAGAGAGAGCGAAATATCAATGTATGGTTGCCTCTTGTGCGTCCCCTGCTGGGAACTGGCCTGCAACCCAGGCATGTGCCCTGACTGGGAATCGAACCTTGATACTTTGGTTCGCAGGCCCGTGCTCAATCCACTGAGCTACACCAGCCAGGGCGAGCATAAATATTTTGACCATCAGCCCTCTTACAAAGTACCTGTCCTCAGCCAAAGTGAAGGATATTTAAACAAAACAGTCAAAACAAGTTTCCTACAAGAAGTATTAGGTAATGAAGTATTACAAGCATGGAGTAATCCAGAAAGTGTAACTTGAATCATTGTATGCTGTCCTGGATTCTGACCCTCTGATTGAGGTATCAACATGATTCTGGCCTATAACTCGCCTATAGAGATCAGAATGGATGATGCAGGTAGAATACGAATGGGTCCTGGACCCTGCAGAGGGGCAGGGTAATGAAGAGGAGTAGCAAAATAATCTAAGATTTCAGCAAGAGTTCGTGTTTGATGTTAGTCCAGATCCAACAACCTGTTTCCTATCAGCAAAAACCAGTAGTTTTAAAAATATGTTGGAGCATGGTCAGTGGAAGCTATTATCAATGGTAATAGCCAACTTTTGAACACTTACTATGTGCCAGATATCACTGCATTTCCCTCCATAATGAGAATATTTGTCTTGCCACTTTGGATACTAATGCTTTTAACATCTTATAAAATGGTTATAGAGGTGCAACTTGCTATTTTCCCCATGGGTCTGTTTTTATTTCTTTTTTTTTCCCCTTGAATGTGACCATATAAGTATATCTGCCTAGTTTGAATGCCATGGTGATTAAAAAAAGTCTTCCATTATGTTTAACCGGGTGGTCCCCAAAAGAAGCTTTAGATCTTGTGGAAAACATGGGTCTTAGAAACCTGAGTTTAGTAACAAGATGACACCCAATCCAGAAAGGGAAACAAAGAGGTCCTTTCTCAGGAGCATGAACAACCAACTGGCTGGGGCCCTCGAGAATTTTTTTTTTGTCCTTGCCTCAAACAAATTTTAGTTTCCAGCTATAACAAATTATTTAGTTTTTCTAATGCTTCCAACTGTTTCAATTTTCGTGATCTTGCACGTTTTGTTTTGAGTTTGGAGTCCCCTGTTAAGACCTCTTCAGTTGCCATTTGTTCTTCAAAATCCACCTCACTTTATGAAGTTAGCTCTGCCCCCCACCCCTCTCTCTTTCTGCCACCACTGTTTCTCTATTTCACAGGTGGCAAACACAAGGTTTTCAGGCCGAATCTGGCCCTTTGCCTTGTTTAATCCAGCCGGCACCTTGTTTCTACATGGCTGCAGCACCGAACTCTCGCTTAACTGCTAAGGAGTAGTTACTCTTATACAGTCCTAACATTACATTCAGCCCTTTGAAGGCAACCGTGAGGCTGATGTGGCCCCAGGTGAAAATAAGTGTGACATCCCTGCTCTATTTATAGCACTTAATACCAGTGAGCTGCTTCGGGACAGTAACTGTACCTTACTCATCTTTGAATTTCCAGCACTCAAATCAGTAATTGGCAAATAGTCGAAGCTTCATCATTGATAGTTAACTTGATTTTAGATATATGTCATTTGGGGTGATTAAGGGGTAATCAGATGGAGAGCTGTCCAGTCAGAGGAGAGTGGCAGTAGCAGCCGCTATTGGCTTAAAAGTAACAGCCGAAGCGTTGAAGGTGAAGCACAGAATGGTAAAGTAAGGAAAATGCTGAGGCAGGACACCTCATTTAGGGAATAGGCAGAGGAGAAACCTCCAGAAAAAGGAGAGTAGAAGAAGCTGCCAAGGGCAGAGGGATGGAGCCTGGCATGTAATAGGTGCTCAGTAAATAAGACATCAATTTTTAGATGCCTAAAAACCAGTCGTAATCCTGTCTAGGAATAAATACTATAACCAAGTTAGACTTTCAGATCTTATCCTGTGTACATCTGTACTTCTCATCTAAAAGGGGTTTACTTGTAATCTGCTTTTTAGACTTGATTATCTTAAAGTGACTATTCCGCTTTGTTACTTTTAATGGCTTCCACTGTAGGACCTATTAGCTTTTCTATATAATGCTCCCCAAGGTGAGAATGAGAAGAAGAGCCTGTAAGATCGGGAAGCCCCCGCAATGCTTCGGATGGGGGTGGAAGGGTGGGCGGGAGTGGACCAGATCCCCTGCAAAGGCTGGGGCGGGGCCTGCGTGGCGCATGGTGGCCAGTGGGGGCGCTGCGGAGCTGGAGGAAGGGGCGGGGTGGGGCGGGGCGGTTACCCGCGGGCAGTTCAAACCCTGGGAGGGGAAGGCTGCGGCCCCACGCGAACTTGGCGTGGGGGTTGCCATAGCCGCGTCTCCCTAGGACCGAGGCCTTAGCTCCTCCCCGGCGTCCCAGGCAGCGCTGCCTTTCTTCCCTCCCGCCCGTCGGCCTCGGCTCCACTGCCGGCCCCTTGATCTCCCTTGGACCGCAACGGGGGGCCTCCCCGCCGGCCGGGCCGCGGAAGGTCGGGAAGGTCAGGCGGCGACGCGGCGCTGAGACCGTTACCCACCCACCCGTGCGCGGGGAGCACCTCGGGGATGGACGGCGGCGCCTCGGCCTGCACTGCACTTCCAGGAACCCGAATTTGAGAAGTTTTCCCAGTTCTAAGACTAGCTGGAGAAAATAAGGGTATTAAAATTCCCGTTGTCCGGAAAAGCTGAAGGAAATTCAATGTGATTGAGGCCTTTCCAAGTGTTAGAAATAATTCCTGCAACATGTACTTTCCGTACTCTTCAAACGTTCGCAGTCGCCGTGCTGCCGCACAGTTCAATTAATTGTTCAAACTAAAGTTTTCTCTTTAAGTGGTCTTTCTTTGACATGAATTTTAAAGGCAAAATGAGAGATTTTCTTGTTTGGAAGGCTGCATAACTTTGACATCTAAGAGCTCAAGAATTTACTGATGGTAAGACTTTCCACATTAACAGATGAAGGAGATTTGGTTTTAATAAGTTAAAAACTAAGTGTTTGACAAGAGCTTTTTTCTTTTTTTTAAACAGCATTGTAGAGATAAGTGTTTCCAACCCTTTATCCGGAATCTGATGTCAAAAACTGAATACCGAAGAGGCTTGATTCACCACTGAACTGTTGAATCAGTAAAATTAAGTAGGTCAATGGGCATTCCATTATTTGGCATGAATAATTTGAAATGATTTAAAAATTAGTTTCGGAGAACCAGTTTTGAGACCAATTTTGTAGGGTAGTGGAAAGAGGAACATGTTGACAACAGAGACAGCACGTCTGAGACAACTTCAAATGTATAGGAGAATGTATAGAAAAGGAAAAAATTAGAGAGTTTTTGTGTGTGTTTATAACGAGTAGCCTATGGCTTTTAAGGGCAGGAGATGATATCTGCATCCTTTGTTTCTAACAATTTGCATTCCCAAATTCTAGCACGGTGAGACACCTAGTGGTAGAGTGGTGTAATAGTCACATTTCTTTTAACTTTATACAAAGGTTCCTTCACTTAATTTTAGCAAATGACATGAGTGAAAACTGTTACTTAGGAGAATGATTTTCAGAGACGGGGAGACATTTGTGGTCGCAGGCGAAATTTTAAAACACTTTCTATCTTATTAACATTTTGAAAACAAGGATTGTTTAAAAACAATACAAGTTATAGAAAACAAAGTTGATAGTCTTGACTGGTAAGCATGTATAGAAGATTGCAGTGATTCTCAGGATCTGAGGAGCTCTAGATTAGAGGGAAACGTGTGGAGTTTACTAGGTAGGAATATAGGTTGAAAGATAGATACTTTGCCCAGCAATGATGATCTTCCAATGATCATTATATCATAAAGAAACCATTTCCTTTTGTGGTTAGCTTAGCAATTTAAAAAACCTTCAGGCATTCATATATTTATCTGCTATGATTTAGGCATAAATAAATTACTTTCCTATTATAGCCTAAATATATCTTGCCAGGATCTTTTAATACAGAAAAATCGAATTTGGTCTGGAGAAAACTTTGAAAAAATTGACAGAAGTTTTAGTATCCTTTGAATAATCTGGAGAAATATCAGAGACAATGATAAATTATCTTTGTTTCCTTGGAGTTAAAATTTAATTTGAGTTTCTAAAAAGAAGGAATGTGATGATACTGTTGAAAAAATTAAGGAGTAAAGTATTTGCTCGTGCCATTCCTTACAAATATAATTACTGAGTCACACTTCTTCTTTAAGTGATTTACTTGAGTTCTTTATTTGAAATTTCAAGACCATTATAAAGGGTGGATCTCCCACGAATAGTTGTATTTTAGTGCTGTTGTACTTTAGTGCTATTAAAATCTAAGGTAATTAAATAATGTAAAAATGATGCTGCCAGGTTTTTTTCTCCTCAAGCGTAGTTCAAGAAAATATTTGTGCATGGTGCTTAGACTATGTTTAATCAAGTCAAAAGAAATATACTTTTATTGTCAAGTGTAATAAAGTCAAATTTTATTATACTTGACAATAAAAAATCAAGTATAACTTTTTGATTGTCATATAATTTTCATTATTATCTGTATTCATAACAATTTGGTATAAGCTCCCAGGCTATGCATTTTAAAAGAAGAATAAAATTTGTTTTCACTTTTTACGAACAGATTCTGAAGATGTCAGACAGGCATTCAGATCAGGCTGGAACTGGAGCAGGAAATGAGGTGGACTCTCCTACTGTCAATTTCAAGTTCGGCCGCCTCAGAGATTTTTGTTCCACATCTTCCTTTCAAGATAGTGGTTACAGTGAGTTGTTGAAATCTTGCAGCTTGGATAATACAGATAAAGAATTTTTTGAGAACACGGGAAAAGGCCCAACATTAAACTATGAGTATCCTGAAACCTCAAGTCTGGGCTTAACACATTCTTTAGAGACCCCTACTCAAAAAAAGAGATTTGTCTTTGCTAGGAAGGAAGTGGATAATGAACCCCTGGAACTTTGTGAAACTCCTAAACTCAGTATGAAAAAATGTTTACTGCGCAGAAGGCTGGACGTATCTTTCTCTCTTCTCGAGCAAGACTTCGAATCACAAAGTAGTTCTCTAGAAAGTAGTATAAGCCAAGTTCTCAACCTAGAGAAAAATTTTCCAAGCAGCGCTTCAGGTTCTCCAAGGCAAAATAATCTCAGTGCTTTAGTTACTAACACTTTGAAAACAGAAGAAGTGACTACCAGCAGTCAAAAATTGAGACTTAATTTTTCTCAACACAAGGCTTCCACAGTTGATGACTCCAAAGATGACTGTAGCCTGTTTGAAGTTGAATGTATATCTCCGATTCAGGGCAATACTTTTAAAGACTTTATCACTCATGACTTTAGTGATAGTAGTCTATGCATTAATGATGAGAATACATATCCTGAACTTCTGGGCTCCTCTGGTAGTGGAACAACTTGTGAAACAGATGAGGATATATTTGTGACTCCAATAAGTAACCTCGTAGCAAACATTAAATTTAAGGCAAGCAAAAGACTTTCTCCATCTGAAGTGAGAGGCAATATTTCAACACCTGAAGATAGTGGTTTTAACTCACTTTGCTTCGATAAATCAGAAGATTCCCTCTCAGACCAGGAGAGTTCTTTTCAAGAACTCCAAAAACATAAGGGAACTCTCAAAGTGAGGGACACCATAAGAAAGTCAAGGCGCCTGGGAAGGTTGAGAAGACTGTCCACCCTTCGGGAGCAAGGCTCACAATCTGAGACAGAAGAGGAAAACCAGATCATCCACTCAGCCTCTGAAACAACCCCAGCAGCTGCTTCAGACATCTCAGAGAGTCAGCCCAGCAGTGACAGTCAGAGTGCGGATTTGATTTTAGGCTTTAAGAATTACTCAAACACCCCAGCCTTGGAATTAGTGCATGAGCTCTTTATGAAAAACAAAAGGAAAAGGTTTCAGCACAATAGTGCTCATGAATTCTTAGAAGACAGGGATGGGGAGAAAATAGCTGTGCTGCAGTGTGTACTTGCAGGACTAATTGGCAAGAAAATGGGTATAGAAAAACTGGACATCTTAACAGAGTTAAAATACAGAAATTTAAAGCATATTCTTGCAGTGGTTTTAGACTCCTTGACTGCAGAAAGCCTATGCAGGTAAGAAATAATTTTTTTCTGAAATAAAACAGCCTCATCACTTTTAAGGTAGTTTTTCTATGAGCTGAGTAGTCATCCAGTTTTTCATTTTATTTTGTTATCTCTATCTTTGGTTGCCTTATACCTTATCAAAGATGGTTTAGTGAACTTCCTGATAGAGCTTGCTAATGTACTTCCTTACACTTAAAAGCCTTCTTCAGAAGCCACAATATAGTCATTGGGACACAGTTCATGTCCCTATCATTTGGAAAGAGAGTTTATAAAAGTTGAACTGCAGATTTTCAAGATGGCAAGCTTTATTCCATGAAAGTTACTTAATGATTTATTTAGTAGTTCACATTCTGTTGTCAGATTGCAAATTGGAGTAAAGTTATGATACTTGGTCATAAATAATGTAAAGCATTATGGTGACTAAGGAATGACAACATACAAAGGATATCATTTAGTTATTGAAGTTTTAGAATCCAAAAACAATGGTTAGCTTTCATTTTAGGGTTTGGTCTTTGCAGAGACCAAGGGAATATGTGTTACTTCATTTTAATTGTTAACACAGAAGTGGAAATTAATTAGTTTTAGGAATTTCAAGGAATTAGAAACTGAAGGATTCGTGATCATGGATTTCAGTGTACTGAGTGCTACTACATAACTAAAGAGAAACTCAGACATTTAGGAGTACTGAGGGTGGGTTACCAGGGTTACAAAGACTAAACTAAAGCTGTGTTCATACTGGCAATTCTGGGGAGTCACAGGACTGTCAGAAGATAAGACCCTGGCAAGGCCGAACTAGGAAAAAAGGGAGTCATGTGGGGAGCATTTCTGCAAGGATGTTTGGGGGAGGACATGCAGGAAAGTTAGTGAACCTCTTTTTTGATAGGGAAATGTCAAGAGTTTGGATCATAGAGCCACATTACTTCTACTATAGCCCTTCTTCACTTTTCTCCCATAATTAATTATAGGCTATTGCAGAGAATTATAGAATTTCATAGCTGGAAGTCTGAGATATCTAACCTAATACTGTATTTTGAAGATGAGGAAACTGAGCTCTGGAGAAGTTAAGTGACCGAACAATAGTCACTCAAGCGTGAAATTATTGTTCAAGATAGAAAAAGCAAATCAGAGGAGGAGATAAAATAGATCCAGTTGTACAACTGAGCCTTCTGATTTCTAGTCTAGAATTTCCCCACAAACTTATTGCAGTATAAAGTATTTCTGAATAGACTTGATCAGAAATGTACTTGGTCTAACCTAAGTAGGATAATGAACAGATTAGTGCAATTGCATGTGTATTCCGTTTAAACGTTTAAATGAGATAAATATTAGGAAATGGCTGAGATATAAGAATTTTATTTTTATATGCTGGAGTATCTGGATACTGACCAGTTAAAATAGAAACTTAGATGATGCTTTTGGGCGCTCACTTGAAGTTGTTGATATTCAGTCATATTTCAATAACTACCTCTTCTGCCCAGCCCTGTAAATGTGTACTATTTGTGCTGCAGAATGTATGTACAATGTTAGTGGTGTCCATTCTTGGTGATTTGAGATTATAGTTAGTTGAAATAGCGGTGGTTCAATCTGTAGTTCATTTCTTCTCAATGACTTTCTGCCTGCTCCTATTCATCAGTCTGCTATAAGATACACATACCAGTTTAGGGAGAGGCAATGCCACTGAAGCAACCATGGTAGCTGGAAGAGCAGTAGTGTTGACAACTCAGGTATTAACCTGGGGCCCTCCTTATGTGTGACTTTGTTTTTCAATGGTCTTTGAGTAATTATTTAAATCAGAATAATGGAAACATCGGATTAACAGTTGAAAGGTTACTTTTCTTATAGATTACAGTAAGTCATATTTTTAATGTGTATTTTTAGGTTTAAATTTGCTGTCCAAAATGAAGAATTTTCTTATAAATTGCCATATGCAGAAACTGTTAATATATACAATATGAGGACTGATCTTTTTGTTATAGTGCTTGGAAAGTGAGCAGAAATTGGCGTGAAATTATTGTTCAAGATAGAAAAGCAAATCAGAGGAGGAAATTTTATATCACACAACTGAAAACAGATTCTGAGGTAACATATATAATACTTTTCTAAAGTATACTCTAAAATATAAATATCTAATGATCCCATATTGCTGTACAACCTAATTTGGTTTTCCTTTCTTTTATACTTTTCCACTCAGCAAACATTCACTCATAAGCTCTGTACTTTTCCCAAACTCCATTTCCTTCTGGACTGTGAGCTGAATAGACTACTTTGCTTCAAAAACATTGATGCTAACATTGTTTTATGTGCCATCAGCAGTATTCGAATGTCAGTGATATGCTGGATCCTGTTCATAATTAGATATTCTTACAGCATTTTAAAAATTTAATCCTTTTTTCACTGATTTTAGAGAGAGGGAGGAAGGGAGTGAGAGATAAACATCAACTTGTTGTTGCACTTATTTATGCATCCATTGATTGCTTCTTGTGTGTGCCCTGACCAGAGATCGAACCCCCAACCTTGGCGTACTGGGATGACACTCTAACCAACTGTGCTACCCGGGCTGTTTTTTAGTCTTTTAAGTGGAATTGTGTGCCGGTTGCTTAGATTACAATAGTGAACATTTCTGGCACAGTTGCTGCTCTCTTGGAGCTCATACCTTATGGGTGATACAAGTAGGGGAAGGCCAGAGTTTGTTTTGTTGGATACTTGGGGATCAAGAGAAGGCTTGCAGAAAAAGTGCATCTCAGCTGAGACCAGAATGATGGGTGAACAGCGAGCCAGGTGAAGACAGGGACTAGTGTTTCAACGAAGCAATAGCATGTGTGAAGGCCTAGGGGTGAGTGAGTGGAGTGCTACTGGTAAAGCATCGCAGGCTTGTATTCCTGTGAAGATTTGAGGTCCAGCTTTGAAGCTACAAGAAAAAGCCTATGGAAGCTGATTCTTCTCAAGGATGCTACTTGCTGTAATAGGTATCCGACGACGCTGGCACCCATGTTTCTTGTATGTTCCACTTTTAGACATTTCTTAAGCATCAATATCAAAAGAAACTCAGAGTTTACCCCTTTATTCTTGTTCTAATAAAAAGTATTTAATAACGTATTAAAGGAAATTTTTCATTTCATTAAATATAATAATTGAGATGAAGCATGGCATAAAACAAACAGGAACACCCAGATTTAGATTGGTGGATTTTTCAGTACAATGAAATGTTAGGGACTGCTTTTAACTAAAACATTGTCCTTTTATTTTACTTTAGAGAAAAATTTTACCTTCTCACTTGTAATGAGTTGCCTTACAGTTTATTCACAGCTCCTGGCAACTTCCGGCCACAGCTGCTGGCTTTGGGAGCTTACAATAGTGAAGGTATTAACTGCCTTCCTAGAGTGCCGTCCTACATACTAACAATAGACTTAGAAAACAATTTTTAAAGCCAGAACCTATTAACATTAAACTTTTAGCCCCATATACTTTTTACACCTTACATGGAGCAAGCCCGGTTTGTGCTTGGCCACCTTTCAGGTAATTCTACATAAAATAGTCTATCTGTAGAGCCTCGCCACCATTTTTTTAAACCTTGGTTTCTTAAAGGTTTTACCTTACTTAAACTTTTCCCCCTTATTTTGGTTTGCTTTTAATTTTTTTCAAAGTAAAAGAAATACATGTTTAAAAAAGGCAAATTAGACGGACGATGGGGCTTATAACAAAACACATTTTCCTGTTCTATGGCTTCCCAGCCTAGATTCTTCTCTATTGAGGCCATCATTTTCAGCTCTTTCGTTGTTGCTTTTGATATTCGCATACACTTTTCTAAATAGAAGGCCTGTACTGCCATTTCTCTGCATTTTTTCTACGGAGATTTTTTGTTCTCTAACCTCTCACCACTACTACTTCTACTATCTACCCCCCAACTCTCTGAATGTCTTTCTCCCTTTCTCCTATCTTAATGAACATAACTGCACCATGTGGGAGTGAGTCAGAATTAGATGCTGACAGTATGAAGACTGTTGAGATGATTATGACTTTTGACAGTTGTAATATGCAGTACACTATGACTAGACCTTTTTTCCTTATATAACTTTTTTCCCCAGAGTTAATAACTGCCCAGTTTCTTTCTTTTTTGCTCAGTGTTTCTCTACACAGGTCCCTGATTCATCTTCTATTACCCACCAGAACTGGAAATCTCCTCTGTGTAAGTCCAAACATATCAGGTATTCTACCTTTCCTTCTTTTCCTCAGAGACATCGTTCCTGGTGTCCTTTGCACTCTTATTATATATAATATGGGTTGCTTTCTACCTGAGCTATCCTAATGTATCATTAACCGAAGCAAAAATTACAAAACCAAGTCGTTGGATGGTTTTCTTCACACTTGGGTAGCATCCCTGAAAGCTCCTTGTGTGTGAAAATTAGAAAGCATGGAGCAGCTACATGCAACGGCATCTCAGTTTTATGTGTGCTTCCAGCAGTGGGAATGAACATTGCGATTGGAATTCTGCACCTTTTCCACTGCATTTCTTAATTTACTGTATCCTGCACTGCATCTTATAATCATGGAACTGAGCAACCATGAGGTGACTCCACTCTCATATTTCAATGTTTTCTGGTAGCATGTTGATTGATGACTGTGTTTCAGAAAATTTTAGTGTTCACAAACATGTGCCTTTGCTAACTGCTTTGCCTTGTATTGTTCAGAGGTGGTTGTATGCATGTCAAGCTCCAGGAGAACAGGGATTGGACTGTGTTATTCACTTGGCATCTTAGGTATGCCATAAATATTTATTAAATGAATGCATGTTTCTTCTGTGGCTGAAATTTGCCTCAACAACATATCTCTATCCACTATTTTGGTTCATGCATACTGTTTACCAACTTCATTGAAACCCACTGAAATTTAGCATGCTGTTATGTCATGTGCTTATGGCCTAGACTGCGGACCATTTATGCAAATGTATGTAGAAATGTATTGAGTCCTTGAAAAAGTTCAACTGTATTTATTCTAATTTCTGAAAACCAATACTCATCCATTGCATGTGTGCATATGTTGTTAAACTATTAATCACATAATTGTTCATGACCAGCTAACTTCATTTCCTATGTTTATCCTACCGTGATTTCTCAGGTTTTAGGTCTCTGCACTGCTAGGAGCCAACTTGGCTAAGGGGGACTCTCAGGGGAGAGGCCACAATTATAGTTGGATGCATGAGAAAATTCACTTGCAGTTCATTTTATTTTCTTAATTGGTTAAGAATGGCCAGTTGTTTTTAAAAACACTTTTTTAAAATCAACTTTAACAGAGTAGGATTACTCATTGAAACTATTTCTTGGCTGTATATTTGAGTGCTGTAGAAATCCATTTCAGATAAGAGTGATTTCTTTGTGTCCTTTTAAGATATGAAACTGTTTAAAATTTAATGGTAAAAATGAATCAAATATTTACAAGTATTGCAAAAAGCAGCCAAACCAATTGGTGTCATGGTTTAACCAGGCCATTATTCTTTTAATACGTGGCAAAGGTAAGAACCCTTCAAAGAATTTCATGATATCCCATAGCAAACTTTACAAAGGATTCATCCCTTCTTAGATGTTGGCTTCACCTGGGTTGGCAGGCTCCAGTCTGTGGTCCAAATCCTGTCTACCACCTGTGTTGTTAAATTAAGTTGTATTGGAACTGAGCACTGCTCTCTCATTTACGTACCTCTGCAGCTGCTTTTGCTAAAATAGCAGTTGGGTTGCTGTGGCTGGCCCGAGAAGTGTGAAATATATACTATCTGGCTCTTTTCAGAAACAAGCTGCCAACTCATGTCTTAAATAAAAAAATAACCAATCATTCAAACTGAAAGCTAACATTTATTTTTAAATTTGTAATATATATTTCTTTCACTTTTAAATATTAGATGAGAGAAAACATTTTTTCTAAAAAGGAATGGTTTAGGGAGAAAAATTCTAGTGGTGTGAAACCACTTCTAAACACTTAAATACACATGCATCAGAAAGCTGTCCTAGAACTTGTGACATTACAGTATTGACCCTTCTTTCTTTTACCACAGCAAGCTATATTAAACGTGCAGGATGCTGCCACGCGGCTTCATCTTTTAAATCGATCAGCTTTAAGATCTGTACAAGCTCAGGCTAGGACACCAGGTTCTCAGAAAGAACAAGGTTCAATATTCTCTCCTTGGGGTGAAGTTTTGACACCTATAGCAAGCTCTTCAGTTACTCACTCACATAGTAAACAGGAAGAATATGTTAAGGTGAGTATTATGTTGTTAGAAATAGATATTTACAGAGTTTGAAATAAAGTGATTCTCTATATGAAACTGGAAGATTTGTATATATGCTTTTACTGCAGGTTGCCAAAACACTTTTTAATGATGAAGCATTAAAACCTTGCCCAAGGTGCCAATCCCCTGCTAAGTACCAGCCATATAAGAGAAGGGGGCTGTGCAGCCGCACGGCCTGTGGCTTTGACTTTTGTGTGTTATGTCTGTGTGCTTATCATGGGTCAGAAGAATGTAGTCGAGGAGCAACAGGTCCAAGAAATAGAAAGGATGCTCTTCCAGGAAGTGCCCAGAGTAAGCGGAGTTTGAAGCGCCTCTAAAGAGACTTTCTGTGTGAAAGAAGCATTCCCCCAAGCAATGTTTAGTCCGACTTAAAATTATGAATATTTTAAAAGCATGCAAATTCCCCATTAATGACAGATGATGATTTATTTCCTGTTTTGTATATATTATAACCCATATTATTATATGTTTTCTTTAAGGTGGTGAGTTTTGAAATAATTTTATTTGACTATGTCATCTTTACCCATTTTAATAACTTAATGTTTTTAAATAAAGAATTTTCAGTGTTATCACATATATGTATTTAACCATTTCATGTAATATTTAAGAATTGTGCATTTCATCACTATGTGTTGAAATGGTCTTTAATGACTTTTTTAAAGTAGTTTTTCAAGTAATATTTACAATTTTGAACTTGAGATAAATGGTCTTATAGATTTAGAAAATGAGTATTCAAAATGAAGTACAAATAAAATGTTTTCAGAAGTTCTATTGAATTTATAATTTCAAGCTTTCTCTTAATTTGGTGAGTGTCCTATTTGGGTAGGCTTCTGGCTAAATAAAATTTGCTTAAAATTCATAACTAAGGAGATATAAAAAGTAAATTATTAGACATATCTGGTTATTCGTAATGGGAATCTTAGCCAGTACATCACATATTTCATATTAGTACTTTTTTAAATTCCAAAACTATAGTCAGAGATTTCATTTGTTTGTTCTAGCCCAGGTATCAATATTGTGACAAATATGGGCTGGTTGAAAAAGGTAAGGTTTTTTAAAATAAGAATATTTATTAAATTGTTTATAATGTACCTCTTTCTAAAACTGATTTGAATTGCATGTTTATAGAACAGTAGCAAGAAAGAGATAAGTTCTATTGTTGAACAAATTACTAAACCCAGTGGATAATTTAAAGGTAGTTTAAAAATTTCTTTGCTTGTGTTCAGGTAACTGATGTGTTTATGTGTCTGTGTACATGTAAGGGGGGGGTCTGGCCACATTGCTGGGGGGCTGGGAGAAACCTTATCTGGTGCAAAAGGCTGTCCCCCACCCAAGAGAAAAGGGGTTAGAGGAAATCCCAAGGTTGTAGATTGAAGTAGCAGGAGAGAAAGAGCCCGCACTTCCCCAGAGAAGGAAGGGACCCCCGAGAGGGGCTGGGAAGTGCTAAAGGCAGGATCAAAACAAGAGTTGGGCTGTAATTCCATAGCCCCAAAGTAAACAAAAAAGTAGCTTGTGACACTGCTTGCACAGAGCCTGCACGGGGCTGTGGGGCTGGAAAAGGTCACAACACGCGTTCAACAAGGTGACGCCCCTCCCTGGGCAGAAACTCTGTGCCCCTGTGTGGCTGAAAAAGCCTCCCACCTGCTTCCAGGTCATGGCGGCTGGAGGAAGGGCAGAGACACTGTGTTGGCTGACACACATGGCAGATGTTGGCCCAGAGATAGTTGGGAATTTCGACATTCCCACAGCGTGCAGGATTTGGGGGGAAAGATGTAAAGTGGTGGGTGCACAGCACTCTCTCTCTTCCTTGCCCCTTGCCCCTGGTCAGGGTGGGGAACAGAATGCCCTTTTTGCACTCCCCTTGCAAGGTCAGGAGCCAGCTCATGGAGGCCCAGTCCTGTGCACAGGACACATGCACCACCAGTGGTGGGTCCACTGACACTGTGCCCTGCTCATGGCTCTTGTGTTACTCTGCTTGCATGGTCTGGAGCAGACTCATGCAGTGAGCCAGCGGGACACTGAGGCCTTGCACCACCGGGCCCAGGGCCTGGACTGCTCCCATTCTTTTGCCCTGAGAGCTGTACAAAGAGGCGTGGGCAGGAACTGGCTGCTGAGCACTAAGTAGCCCTGGATGCCAGGGCCCAGAGAACTGAGCCCTTCATATGACCAGCTGCAGTGATCTGGCAGTGAACCTTGGCCCCGGGAGAGGGAGAAAGCTGTGGCAAGGCCATGGAGACGCTGGCCTCGCAAGTGTATGCTTGAGAGAGACAGAGAGAGCATGGAGTTGGGGAGATGGACACCCATCTGTGCAGCAGCCTTGGACTCCGAAAGCACAGATAGGAATGGAGGGGGCGTCTCTGGGCACGGATTTGGATTTCAGTCTTTTTGGGAGCAAGGGGATTTCTGTGTTTTGCAGAAGAGAATGGCTTGATGCAGGGGAGCCCTCACTTCCCCAAATTGGACACCCCGTTAATAAAAACCTTTTTCCTTTAATCTCTGTTTTATGCTTGTGTATGGTGGCACGTGGCTGAATCCTATTTTGCCCTGTAACATACACACTATACACAGATTTAAAATGTAGTTATCTTATACATTGTTTTGACAACACTATTTTAAAGTGTGAATTAGTACAGGTATGTATTGAAAATGGGCCCTAAGTTTCCCCCCACTAAAATTTTGGATTAACTACTAAATATTAAATTTTGTCTATATCTTGTCTAACTTCACTGAGAATTTTTGGAGGCTAAACATAAGTTTGAATAAGTTATTAGTTGTATTCAATGTGGTACACAGTCCATAAATTTTACATCACATTTTCCGACATTAACTCCGATTTAATCCAAACTGTGTACTGTCTTTGGCCTCTCTTTCTGTGTCTCAGAGCAAACCATAGATTCTTTTGCCATATGGACATCGTCGCAATTTTACGATCTTGATATCTGCCTGACCTAAATGCCTTCCCAGAAGTGACTTTTAGGTCTTAAAAATCACAGATCTGGTTATATGATATTTTTTTTAAAAACAAAATATAAGATTGTCTAAAAAATTTAAGTGTTTACATTTCCTAATATCGTACGGGTTTTTATTATTTTATTAGAAAGTAACGAAGAGAAAAGACAAGTGGTTTTTTTACCTCTTCAGCGTGAAATTGTCAGAAGTGCAAAGTAGGCACCTGGTGCTCGTTCCAGCCCGTGATGAGGCACTTGGTCACCGTCTGATGTTTCCCAGACACGGTACCCTCACAAAGCGGTCCCCTGTGCCATCTTTGGTTACCCAGTCTACTAGAATGTAATATTTAATTTCACTCTGGTGGCGAAAACATCGACTTTTACTGCATTTAAGTTTAGAAATCAATAATCTAACATGTATTCCTCCCTACTTGTACATGCTGTTAACATTGAAAGTTCAAATTTTTAAAACAGATTTTATTTATTTATTTAGAGAGAGGGGAAGGGAGGGAGAAAGAGAGGAGAGAAACATCAATGTGTGGTTGCCTCTCACACAACCCACAGTGGGGAACCTGGCCTGCAACCCAGGCATGTGCCCTGACTGGGAATCGAACTGTCTACCCCTTGGTTCACAGCCCAAGCTCAGTCCACTGAGCTACACCAGCCAGGGCTGAAAATTCAAATTTTTTTATATTTCTGATTTAAAATAATTTTTTAGTGTCCAAGGAATGTATGTAATCTCTGTTTCCCCTCTGCTTGACACCAGACTTTCCGGTTTCCTATTCTGCGTGTAATTTACCTCCTAGAAGCCTCTAATTTCTAATCAAAATAAGGGTCCCATTCATTCGGTTTAATTTTATTATTATTTTTCTGTTTTGTTTTTGTTGAGTCAGTTTAATTTTAGAGCTGGCCTTTTCTAATTCTGCATGCAAAAATTGATTTAGGCATCAAAAGACGTACTGTTTGGCCATCTTAAGTTAGTATCAGTTTTAGTTAAGTCTCCCCATTGCTCTAAGTACTTGCAAGTAAAGGCGTCCTGTTCATTGTCCATCTGCAGTATTGATGCGGGCTCGGGGCTGGGAGTTTCTGGCCTTGCGGGCACTATTTCCCATGTTAGTTTTAGTTTTATTTTGGGATCTGTAGAGTCTGAACAAACTTGTAGGGTGGGATACCGTGTGGTGGGTAAGGGTGCTGCTTGTGGGTTGAGCTGCAAGGGGCTGTCACCTCCAGAGTCACCTCAAACCCTCTAGTGTCTTGGTTTTTCTCCCCAGCTGTCTAATATAGCCGTGAGGACTCAGAGAGCTCGATAGCCAGCCTTTATATGTGCGTCCCCAGATGCCAGTCATTTATTTGCAGTTGAGATGGAATTCCCTGTGGACCTCCTGCACATGGTGGGGTATGCCCTCGGACCCCTCTGCGGGGGTTTGTAGGCACCTAGGAATACCAGAGATTCAGGCTGGAGGGAGGAAGTGCATCTTATTTTTGGAGTCAAACAAGTTCATGTTCTCATTTATCCAGCAAAAGGCTTTGTTTAGACCCTCAGAAATTCTAATTCAGAAGCCAAAGGTAAAATTGAGCCACCCATTTTTTCCCCTTCCTGTCCTTAGTTATCTGGGTCCTTAGCTTTAACCTAGGTTCTCTCAACCCTTACCTTTTGGCTTCACCTTGAGTGTTTCAAAACAAAAACAAAAACAAAAAAACTCAGCTCAAAGTCAGCCTCTTACCTTAAAACAGAGAGGTCTGAAATTTTGAGGAACACTCACCCAAGTCCACCTGACGCAAAGGGAGGAGCCTGGGGTGGGTGGTGGTGGTGCAACGGGCCCCTTCTGGTACCTAGCACAGGTCTGGGTCTGCAAGCTGGTGCTGGGTGGGCGTCTCTGGAATCCTGCCACACTGTGCCAGAGCAAGCTAATCTGGGCCATGGTGCAAATATCCAAGTCACAGCACTGTAATGTTGGCAGCGGCCAGAACGAAAACAGCACCAGATGTTGGTTCAGCAACCTCAGTACTTAAGTTCTGGCTGGGAAAGAATTTAGAGCCAAGGCTCAAACTATAAGCAAAGTTTACTTAGAAAGTCACAGAGGTAGAAGAAACGGACCACAGGAGAAATGAGTTTAGGAAACAAGTTACAGAAGCAAAAGAAGGGCCCTTGGAACTTAGGAGAAGAAAGAGGCAAGGAAAACCCTGCTGGGGTGGGGGGTGGGAGAGGGCGGAGGAAGTCGCTGACATGCTTCCGGAGGGAGAGCGATATACTGGATTTTAATGAGGATTTGAGTATTACGACCAAGTAGTTGTGTGTGACAGAGTATAAGGGCTGAATACCACATACTTTAATGATTATATTTAAAAAGCTTTCTGAGAAAAAAGAT